GAGCAAGAGCGCCTCTTCCAAAATTTTGAATATCTTGGCCCATAGTTCAGAGGTTCTGGTGTTAGGGCGGGGCTTTATTGATTATATAGTTTAAATGCATTAATTCTTTGAAAATCATCTCTGCTCCTGGGTATTTAACAGATAAACTAAGTGCATGGATCAAAGGATACCCCTTCCAAAATTGTGAAATTTGTGGTCCCAGAGTCAGTGGTTCATGTGGTGGGAAGGGGGTCTATTGAATATATAGTGGAAATGCATTTTGTTTTCAAAAAAATCTTCTCCTCTGCCCCTGATTGCAGAAATATGATGATTAGGGATGTCTTTTCAAAAACTTTGAAATTCATAACCCCGGGCACAGGGGTTTTGGTGTGAGGGTGAGGCTCTTTTGAATAAATGTATATAGTAAAAATGCATTATTTCTTTGAAAATCTTCTCTGTCCATTGTTATTAAGGAAATATATTTTAAACGCATGGTTATGACGAGCAAGAATGTCTCTTCCAAAAGTTTGAATATCTTGAATATCCCCTGGGCCAGGTGTTCTGGTATTAGGTTTGGGCTATATTGGATCTTGAGTGAAAATGGATTATTTCTTTGAAAATCTTCTCAGCTCCTGTGCTTCTAGGAGGCAAACAGAGTATATAATAAGCAAGGATGTTTTTACCAGATTTTGAAATTCTGTACCCTTTGTCAAATTATGAATTTTTACTGAAAGAAGTTAAGTCACCTATGATAGTTAATCATTGTAAATAATGTAACTTGAAAGGTCAATTGAATATCAGAATACAAAAATTACTTTCAAAGTTTTTAATGATCAGGTGACAAAAATACCGTATACTGAGTATCACTTTCTTTCGAGACTAGCACGCTAACCACCAGACCATACAAATCCTGATGAACAGTGGCATTTAAATCATGTTTGTGATATGACCCTTGACTTAAGGTACTTCGAGTATTTCTCGAAAAGATGCGAATGTTATGTCATAAAAGTATATTTTTAAGATATTGTGGGTCATTGCTCCATATTTTTTGGTAACCAAAAAATGTATATTTTTATGCAAACTTTGAGGATTAACTTTCAAAAAAGTGGAGCGAAGACCCACTCATATCGAAAAATAGTGTTATAGTATGAGAAAATTACTCTTTTTGCCCGCTTTAGTGTGTGACTAATAATTCACAGGCAAATAATTTCAATCTTTGAGGGATTTTTGCAAATTGTAGAGATTTCACATAAAGTATATTTTAATGTTAGACGAAATATCAAGGGAAATTTTGATACAATTGAAATTTAATTTTTTATCTTCATGTTTGTCACACTATAGGCTTATCGCTCGTCATGTTCACCCATCTCCTTTACTTACCTTGTCATTGGTCATTTGCAAAATTATTTTGTTAAAAAACATTCTGATTGTACACACAAGTACTCTGAAGTTGATATTAAAAAAATGCTTGAGTTTCTGATTAACAATATACCGTATAACGGGTATTTTCTGCGGTTGGAAATTTTTGCGATTTAACCCCTAAAAGGTAGCAAATTAATTTCTGCGTTTTCAATTTCTGCGGTTGCACTATACCGCAAAAATTTATTTACGGGGTATGATCATGTACTATAAACTTTATGAATTATCATAACGCGGTCATGTTTACGTTTTAAAAATTCATCAAGACATATATTGATCAAAGGTGCATGAGAACTAGTATTAAGCTGTTAAGCTTGATTTAACTACTATCTTTAATTAGTTTTTGTAAAAATATTTCGAGTACCAATTGAAATGAATTAATGCAATGTCAGTCCATCCAAACAACAATACAAATCTTTATTCTAACAGTCGTTTTATGCGATCTATTAAAATATTTAAACATATAGATAATGATAATAAATGCATCCAAGCCATATTCTAAAATACTGCCATCAAAATCAATTTGGTGTTTATATTTTAAGCTAAAACAAACAGTTGCATAATCTAGTACCCCAAAGTTGACGGTTAAAAATCACAGGTGTCATGTGCATTGAGGCGGTACACGGTATGTGTAGTTTTTGGAGATCAGGACCCCTTTTAACAAAAGAACTTATGACTAAGATCAAAAATATTATTACATGAATAACATTCATTTTTAAATTGATTTAAAAATGGTATTAATCTTTTTGAATTAAGAAAATAATTTTATACAATCACTTTTTTAACAGAAACAAAATTTCTTTAAGATTTTACGATCAAGTGAAGTTTTTGATCTTTTGTAAAACGGGCCCCAGGTTTTCCAAGAATCTGTTGGAATTCCCATGGGTACCAATTGCGCCCCGTTGTTAGGAGACCTATTTTTTATTCATATGAAGCAGAATTTATTCAAATTCTTATACATCAGAAAAATAAATCTCTTGCTGTGGCCTTCAACTCGACATTTAGATATATCGACGACGTATTATCAATTAACGATAGTTATTTCCATTCATATATTTTTTTTTACAATATATCCCAGTGAGCTTGAAATAAAAGAAAGCACAGAGTCTGACACATCTGTTTCTTATTTGGATATTTTACTAGAAAAAGACGTCAATGGTATTCTAACAACAAAGCTTTATGATAAACGTAATGACTTTAACTTTTCAATCGTAAACTTCCCTTACTTATGTAGTAATATACTCTTATCACCTGCATATGGGGTGTATATCTCTCAGTTGATTCGATACGCAAGAGCATGCTCTACGTACGAACAATTTCGAAACGAGGTAAGTTATTGACAAACAAGTTGATGAAACAAGAATAACAAGTCTCGTTTAAAGTCATCATTTCGTAAGTTCTATGGTTGATACAATGACCTTGTCAGCAAATACAGTCTATCATTAAGTCATATGCTGACTGGCGTTTTTCATACTAATTTGTTACTCTTTATAAATGATTCCTGGTAAATTGAATTATTTGATAGTTTTCTGTTTGAAATTAAAACACTGTGCTAAAGAGGATTACTAGAATTTGTTGCATCCAATAATTAAAGGCAAAAAAGGGTAAAAGGAAGGGCACAATTACCTCTGGTACTCTCTCAAAATCTTCTCGGAACAATTTGAAAGGAAATTAATGTCAATACGTAAAGAGTACTATATACTTTAAGAGTTTCTCTCTGAACAAAAACTAGAGGCCCATGGGCCACAACGCTCACCTGAGTAACTTTGGCCCTACTGTTCTTCACCAGACCAGATTTCCCCCCTTGTAATATCTATTGTGGCCCCGCCAAAGCCCGGGGGACATGACTTGAACAAATTAGAATCTACACTATCCCAAGATGTTTCCACATAAGTTTCAGCTTTTCTGACCCACTGGTTCTTGAGATACACAATAGAAGAATTATTTTTAATGACCCCACCCTATTTTTGTCTTTTCTTGATTATCTCCCCTTGTAATGGAGCTTGGCCCTTCAATTTAACCTCCCCCCCCCCCTCCAATGATGCTTTGTACCAACTTTGGTTAAAATTCGCCCAGTGGTTCTTGAGAAGAAGTTAAAAATGTGAAAAGTTTACAGACGGACGGACACACAGCTAGACGGATGGACGGACATTGGGTGATCAGAAAAGCTCACTTGAGCTTTCAGCTCAGGTGAGGTAAAAAAAAAACCCTTGTATCTAACTTAACCTCCTCATGAAAATCTCCCCTGAAATTGACCGAGTGCTAAATATTGATGCATTTATCAAACTGAAGATCAAACAAGTTCAGCTATAAAATCTAAACAAATGCAAGGTACTCTGCCCAATAATAGTCCTAAATTCAAAGAATGTGAATGCACAACAGATTTGTAATGCTCTCCCTCTCTCTGTTTTTAATCAGTAATTCATTTTAAAGAGTCAATTCAACTAAAACAATTTGTTAACTGAAATGTTACTACTAATGTCTAAATGATAAAATACAATTTTCACCATAAACGTTTGTTTGTATTCTTAGTACAATCAAACCTTGTTATCTCAAACTCCATGGGACCAAGAAAAAACTTTGAGATATCCAAAGATTCGAGATATCAGGGGTAAAATACTTAAAGAATAAGTGGTCAGGACTTCTAAATCACTTCAACATATCCATGGTATTCAAGATATCATTGTTCCAGATATCAAAGTTAAACTGTATTTAATAAAGATTATTGATGAAATCAACTTATTAAACTTTACTAGGTAATAAAATTTCCCTCTGCATATCAATTCCTAATCTAAAATGCTTCAGACAATGCCAGAGTATGTTGTATCAGATTGATAATTAAAGCTGAACATGATTCATAAAAGGAAGAGAGTTATCTTTGTCCGCCATATCAAATTTCTCAAGACCATCGATCTCAAGCCCCTATAAACGTCAATAAAAAGGACAAAGTAAAAGACACACATGTAGATATTCTACTCGCAGCAGCGACATGGTAAAAGCAGTCAGGTGAAATGAATGCAAAGAGTTTATATACCCCCGTGCTGATTTAAAAGATGGGAAAAATAAAATGACTATGCCTATTTACGAGTTGTTTTCAGCTTTAATGCTACAGAATTATGTATTATTAGGCTGGAACAGCTGGATTAAAGCTACATCTTTTTTGTCTCAGTTCATCCAGCTGAAAATGAATATGCCGAGAGTTGACGTGATGACCTTTGATGATTTGTTGTCTCATCCACTGACTCTTCTGCTTAGCACAGAAGAAACTGTTATGAATCACCAGCTCCTTGCCTTGGAAAAATTTAAACCATTGAAAACATTCAGAAGAAATTTTTTATTTCAATATTGTATTGCAGTGACCCAGGTGACCTAGAAATCAAAATACTGTTGAATTTCGATAGCTTGAGCATGGATATCTCAAATACTTGTGTATATGTCAAAGTGTGGTGAGAGTCTCTCTTTTTTTCCATGTATTTGAAACTTGAAATCTCAAAACTTAGGATATCTCGAAGTACTTTCTCAGTCTATCGAGTCTGAGATAACAAGGTTTGACTGTATTAAAAAAACTACTTTTAACTGTTCAAAAATTTAAATAAATACTGGCACAAAATATGTGTATTTAAAACAGTTAATCTATTCTTCAGATAAACATGATAAGATTGATAAACAGATATGATTATAGGAACACATTAAACAAACAACATTAAATATGTTTTTAGAAACAAAATGAACACCACACATACCATAAAATCAACATGTACCATGCATATTGCACAATAATTTTCCTTCTCATCAATCAACATAGCTACATAAAACTCTTATTCATCTATACATTAGTAATAAACTTGCACTGTCAAACATTTCCTTAAGACGTTGTTCAATGAAGATCATTGATTCTCAGTAGTGAGAATTAGAAGTTTGTACAGAGAGTCCTAGGAAAATCTGTAGTCCCACTACACTCACGGTTGTTGTAAACAGAGCCTTAGCAGTGAGGAGGGTCCAGGATCCTAGCCCTAATGCATGAATCAGAATCCTGAAAATAGACAGATAACAATAGAATTATGACACACTTCATTGTAATTCACAGAATGTGAAAAAATCTATCTACAAATGCATCTCCTCCTCTTCTTTTTACATTGTAAAGTTAAATACAAGACATATTTGATATGTTTCATTGAACAGAAAATTAAGCTTCAGAATGTGAGGAACCTGTGACATGCTCAGAATAGATCTTGGCTGTTTGCATCATGGGACAAAGACTTTTTATTATTAAAAGAGGTGTGATGGACCCCTGTATAAGGTAGTTCCCCAAATACCTTGTTACTTTTTTGAGGGACCCATTTATTATACAATTTTTAGCCAGAAGTCCCAATGACACTGTTGCTCTATTGCTTTAAACTTGTGCTTATGTAAGAGAATGTGATCATTTCTTTCAGAGTTTTACATTTACAGAATTATGTACCTTGATGATTTCTTAACTTGGTGTAAGTTTAAAATACTGTATATAAACCAAAACTGTAGGAGGATCAAGTAGCATTTTGATATGATTTCACATTTTCAGTAACCTATGCAACAGAATAGAATGCACCCCCCATTTTTATACCCCCCCCCCCCCCCCCCCCCGAAAAAAAAAAAGTTCTACACCTTTCCTAGATTGTACAAAAATTATAAATATTCACTACACATGAATTCACACTTTAAACATGACATAACAGTCCTTCAGTGGATGAACTACTTACTCCACAATGAGTGGTCTATAACAGCTGAGGGCCAATAATGTCATGACGACCGGTATAAACGACTTCTGAAGATCATGTCTACTGCGTAACCAGACCAACATGGCTGTTGTAATGTGATGCACCTAATTTACAAAGTCAAACATACAATTAGACAGTGTTCAAACAAGGCTAATTTTGTTCTTTAAAATTACAATGACATATAAATATCACAGTTTACCTATTAGATTAAGTTCTGTCACTGATGAAACAATTTTGGGTTTCAAGAAGGATAACTCATCTTTAGCTAAAATTTAGTGTTCCTTATCTCTTGCAGTACCCCCTATATTACACTTGACAATTCTATCATGTTCTACTTTTAATGTAGACTACTGTACAGTGCAAAGTATGCTATCAGGTTTTGTCTTTATTGATGTCTTCTGCATTTGACATTTGATTGTTTTCTGTGTATCAATAGCATTCCAAATATTTCTCACTTTTACCATGTTTATCACTAAAACATTAGAAATATTCCAAAATAAATGAGAAGAAACAATTTATTGATTATGTTATCTCCAAAGGAATGAAATATTGCCTGTCGCAGGGTGGAGGGCAATATTTTTGTGCCTTGGGGACTAACATACATGCAATCAATGTAGCCCAAATGCAGTCAATAATTGACTTGTTACATGAAAAACAAAACACATCAATAAAATAGTATTTTGATTTCATTCACTAAAATCAGCAGCTCATTTACAGCCAATGCATTATCCTGCATGTTAATTTTAGTGCTAGAAAATCTTCAAGTTGCCATTGATTGTGTTACTTCGTTTTTTTTTTTTTTTAAGTTTAAAACGGTATCATTACATCACAATAAATCAATCTTCTAATCAGAATCAAAATCAATGATTTTTGGAAAAACACTCGTCAGCCAATAGTAAAAAATTCAATACCTGTCAATATTTTTCGTCGGAGCTGATATCAATTACGTTGACTGTTTCTCTACATAGAGAATATTCTTTACTGAATATAACAAAAAATAATACTTACCAAATTGATGTTAGATTCGAAACACATCTGGATGTACTTCCAGTCAAATTCAACACCTCTTGCTCCAACCCAAAGTGGGATGAACCTAAAATAAGCAGTTTTCTCTTTAAAAAAAAACAACTATAATATTCATTATGATTACACACTTAAATCACACAGATTTTATTGAATTCACATTTAGGATGATTGAATTCATTTAGGATGACTGATAAACTACTTATTTCAAGTACATGCATACTTGCAAAAATTATGGTCACTTTTATTTTGTTCATTGTACAGTGACATAATTTAAAGTGACACTATGACGGACAAACAGGAAAATTGACAACAGTAGAATTTTTGCATGACGCATGCAAATTTTGTTCAGTTCTTGAAGATATTAGGTTTCAGAAAATTACAGGTTTCAGAACCTAAAAAATCTAATTTAATGGAGAAAAATAAAAGTAAAAAAAATCTTTGTATAGCCCATCACAAAAATATTGCTTCACTTCTTCCTCTTTATTGTACACATGCGCTGAAAAGTGGAAGAATTACCATGGTTTCAATTCCATAGATATAAATGTTGGATGACTGAGAATTTTGATACAATCTTCAAAAAAAAGATGATCATAACTTATTCCTTACTTCTGCTTGCCCCAATTCAATGTTGTTTTCAAGTTTCATGCTAAAAATAAAGGATGTGTGACCTTGACATTGTTGACATTGACGATAAAAACAAAGCGATAGATACAACATTTGTTTTTCCGGCACTTATATTTTGCAAGTTTTTTTCTTGCTTTACAGTGCAGTGTTGTTGTCAAAACCTCGCTATATTCATATTTCACAGAAATCTTTTGTTTTCTGATACAATTTTCTTAAAAGAGACACATGGTTTTGACTCATTATGCAACTTTAAGTGGGAAATACACAATGCTGTGAAAAAGGACAGTGTGAAAGATGTTTATTCAGTGATGCAGAAAATGTTCATTTAAAGTATTCTATGTATGTGTGTGTGTATATATATATATATATATATATATATTTTACAAAATGAAAATGTAAAATCTGATATATATACTGTAGATTCCTAAATTTTGCGAGAAACACTACTTGCGAAATAAAACTACTCGCTTTCATTTTTATGGTGCTAAAATCCATGTAAAATGTCTTGGTTATTCATCAACTCGTGAATTATTGTTCTTGCGATTTGACGTTAGAGAGCCATTTCCCGATAATAAGGAATCTACAGTCAAGTTTCACCTTGTCATAAGTAACTCAGCTGTGGCCCAGCCTAACCCAGCCACCATGAATTTTAACTGTCCCTTTCCTGCAATCCTTGTCATCACCAGATGAATTCCAACCAGGTCAGCCAAGTCTACAGTACACTTCAAAAATTCCTGAGGAAAAAGTTCAACAATTACAATTAAGCTTGTTTTGGAAAATTGTATTTTAAAACAATTTTATATTACTGTTTTTTTTCTTTAAAATTCTGTTTTTTTCTATATTTTCCCCCCAATATTTTGCTATCACTAGATATCATGTTATGAAACATTCTCGAAACATTAAATCTCAAGACCTACCCCTAGGATATCCACTCCCTCTGGAGAAAATTCTGTTGATGGGAAAAAGGTGGCCAATACCAGCATTTTACAGAGCTGTGTGAAAAGGTAGGCTGCCCCTGCTTGAACACATTTCCAAAATGCACTGTACTCTGCCCTGTAAAAAGATAGAAAGTAAGTACTGTTCATCTTATCAACTACACTCATGCACTTATTGTTCCGATATTTGACAAGAATTTGAAAATAATTTGTAGGTATGCTGAAATCAGTATACACTGTTTTCCTTTACTATATATTTTACATCACCCAAGACATAACTTGCACTGTAACTATCAGATTTTTTAAAACAATCTTACAGTTGCTTCCGTATGATTACTTTTTTTCAGACAACTGAACAATAGCTCTTCTCTGACTATGTCAAGTAAAAAGCAAGCTTTCTAGGCTTACTTGTACAAAACCAAAGATATCTGAATGTTTAGAGAAAAAGGGAACAAGATTGGGAAGTTAATCGTACCTGCTTATCACGAGATTTCATCAAATTTGTGGAATAAAACAATTCATGTAAATGCTTTGTTCATTTTAAAGAAAAGTATAAAATGTACATTGTAATATTAATTTCCGTATTAATCCTCACAGTCATTTCTTTTTTAACAAACTAATAAAAACATCTTTGGCCTAGTAAAAGTAAGAAATACTAATCCCTCTGGACTAATACCTAGAAAATTTTGTGCTGAACCCTGAATACCCTTTAAGTAACTATCTATTTATGCGAAGCTTCCCTTGATTTGATGTCTAGCATATTTTTTGTGTAAAATCTTCAAGGGTAAACAAATAATGTCATCTCATATAATGCTCATAACTCGTCTTTATAATTATTGCCTCATTTTTTGCTCACATTCCTTAAACCAAGCTTCATTGTACCAATAGAATCTACTGTTTGAAGTTCTTGAGCTAAAATTCATCTATTGTTACATCGTTTTCCCCAAGTCATATGCTCAACATGTTTCCAATACCAAAGAATTCCTATTCTACTCTCAATAGTTATAATAGCTATTGACATGTGGCATCATTTGATCAACAATACATTTCTGTAAAATTTGAAAACTTAATTAATTCTCAATTTCTGGATGTAAGGATAAATAATAATGAAAAGAATAAATAATGGCAAATAATTATAAATCATGTACCATTTTATAATTCTGATACATAATACAGAATGATATTCCTTAGTTAAAATTATCTGTGTCTCAGGAAAGGCCCTCACCACAGTTAAAATGCCTCCCATATTCCCACAATGTAGCAAAAAATTGCAGAATCGCTCCGAAACGATTTTGGACACAATAAAGGAAGATGCAGTGAAAATAACCGTCAAATTAATCACAACAAACCTTTTGAGATTGTAGATGCCTTTTAAATGAAAAAGTAATCCATATAATGGAAGAATTCAATACATAGTTGCCAACTCACCCGATTTCATCAGGTTACACCCGATTTTTCGACCCTTAACCCGATTATTTTTTATAATCCGGCGGGTCTTGCTTTTCACCCGATTTTTGCCGAACAACCCGAAAATCTCCCGATTTCCGGATTTGGTTCGTAAATTAGATTGCACTTTTAACTTTCAGTTACAACCCAAGCCTGGATATACTTAAACAATGCCGATGGCTATGTTTATAGTAGGCCGTGTACCAGTAAATTATCAGTGAGGAATCTTGGAAAACAACTTTCATTAGATAAAATAAAGTGTTGGAAGATAGTGTAGACATAACTGTACATTTAATAGCACTTGTTAATAATTCGGGAGAGGAAAATTAACTTCAAAAACAAAATTGGAATACTTTCAAATTTAGCACAAACTTTCCATGTGCTTCAAATCAGCAATGCAGATTCTGAAAAGACTTTCCTTTAAAAAAAAATGCACACTTAATTTAGGTCAATACTGAATAATGAAACCTTCAATGCTCTCTTTACATGTAAATTTAATCAATATAATGTATTACATTTTTGTAATTGTAAGTTAAAGCCTCTTTTTAATAAAAAAAAAATCTCAATACACAAATGCTTATATATACAGAAATATTTAATTTAATCATGGTAAATGTGTCGTGAATGTTGTTATGCGTTATGACCAGATTTTTTACTCTCCAAATCTGGTCATGACCAGATTTTAACATGTTGGAGGTTGGCAAGTATGATTCAATACTTTTTCTCAACGTTTTTACTTGCTGCAAATTTACACCCCATGTTAACATTTGGAATTCTCTGGATTGCTCATAGTATATGCACTGAATGAGAGATACCACCCATGTTTGTTTTGCTACATTGCCACGCAGTACAGTTAAGGCTACAAAAAGTAGGCAGGGCCTAATATTTACGGGAAATATTAACTATGACATCACACGAAACTATCAATCCTTTAAAATACCACAAAATGAAGTGATTTGCGATTTTAAACTGTAGGGGATAATTAAACTACATCAAAACTTACTATAACATGTATTTTTGTTGTTAGTTAAATCCCACATAGCAAGAATTAAACAAATCACTGATCGCACTGCACTTGTCGATATGATGTCATTCCGTAAAACTTGACGCAGTTTGTATGCAGTGAGAGGCGGATCAAGTAATATTTTCACAACGAAGAAATGTATTTTACAACTAAATAAAATAAAATTCGCAGATGTTTAAGAGGCCAGTAATTTTGATGCAATGTCTTTTTTATGAATTTGTTCATATATATTTACAGTACATTTCCTAATTAATGGATACTGCCATATATTTGTATGCAGGTACATCGGAGAATAATCTAGGGGTCTTGGTAAATCGATCTAGTGCAAGGGCATATCCTCAATAGATCATGGCAAGTTTTTAATCATAAACTCTAGAAGTATTAAGCTATTTGAAAAGTGCTGCAATCCTGTTGAAATCTTAAAACTGAATTAATTATTTCTATATTTAATGAAGCTGACCAGCACAAAATTCAGTATACATTCAGACAAATATGATTTAAACAATGAAATAGTAAAAACTATATAGGATTGCAGCACTTTTCACAAACTACAATGGGTGTTGAAACTATTTAAATATTAAACTTCGAATTTTAAGTTGGTTATGCCCTTGCACTAATGAAATTTATAGGTGACCTCAATACTGCAAGTATATATGCTAAAATCACGTGACTGATACATCACGTGACAAATCTAAATAGAAAATCTAATTGTCCTCAATATGTATTTAATAACCATAATTACATTTGTCCAATATTAGTAAAGTACTAAAAAGAATCGTCATCCTGAAAAATAATAGATTTTGTACCATAAAAATTTGCCAATATTTCTTTGCACACCTTAACTGTACTGCGCAATACACAGAACCCATTCTATTGTTAAACTGGGTCTGTAGGACATTTTCATTTTAATGATAGAAGATTCTATCTAGATATTCCTATATTAGCTCACATTTTCCACTTTCTTAAAAAGTAAAAATACAGAACAAAGCTTGGTAATATTTCTAGAATTATTTTGCTTAAATTTCTATGCCTGTAATATATTTTATAATCTATTTGGAGACTAGAATAACAGAGGTGTACGTTAACTGTTTATGTATGTTGTTTTGTAGCCACAAGGGGCTTGTTCCCAGAGCTTAAAAATATTCATTTAAAAAATTGTATACCATTTCTAGTGGCTGATAGACGATTTTTCTTATAATTTAATTTTTTTTTGGGGGGGGGGGGGGAGGGGGCATGTATGTTATTCAATTTTTCTCCATCAAACGTTTTGGTCGGTAAAATCATGATTTCAGTCAGGTAAAAGTACATGATTGGCATCATGTTTACATGCTACAACTGAGAAAATTCGGAATTAGTGTACAATGGTTTGTTTGTCCAGTTCAAGATAGTTACCTGAGATATCTTGATAATGTAGAGGGTGAATTTTAGCTTAAAATTGAACTTACAATCCTGAACATTTGTAAACAATTGCATATGGCACATATGCTAACGCCACACAATTTCCAAAGTGGAAAAGTGTCATCGTGACGGTGATCGTGATCGTCGCCGGTCGCGCTGTCTCTCTCAACCGGAAGTGACAGAAACGCAGAAAATAAATTGCCCTCATTCTAAAAATGAAATTAAAAATATATTTTTTAGATTATGTCTTTATTTCCCAAATGGAAAAATGAACTTTTCCCTTTTTATATGTCTAATATTTTTATTCTATCATTTATTTTGTTGAGCATAATTCGCTGCGGAACTCGCATCCTTAGCAACCTGACAGCTTTGTTATGGTAGTGTGAGTCGGAACAAGAGGAGTTTGTTCACTGACGAAGTAGCCCAGCGAGTGAAGCCAGCATTTAATCAGTCGGTGTTTATCTGTAATCTACCGTGATGTCGTTACATTTCAGTGCCAATCAGGTAGGCAATGTAATTGAAATACAGACTCGATTAACAGTGCTGAGGAAAACCATCACAATCAACTCATTCATCCTACATCGGGTCCGTACGCAGTTGGTTAATTAATCAATGCACTTAAAAACAGCAATTGTGATCTAATACTAACAGGCCTAATAAATGCAACAGTTCATTTCTAAAGAAACAAAAACAGGGAGACAATGAGGAGATCTCATTTTTAACTAAACAGTGTTAAATATTAACAGGTATTTAATAAATATGATAATGAAACAAATGGTCGAACATTCGCGAATGCATACAAAATGACAGATGTTTTATAGAAACTATCATGTACTCCTTTAGGGTATGAATGATTGACATGCGTACAGTCAGTCCTCAATTTCATAACTTTTAATGGTTCAAATTCTGTATATATAAATAAACTTTTTATACGGCAGGAAAAATTGTGTTCAATCACAAACTCTGCTGTACAAATATGAATTGTGTGATTAACAAAAATTACTAAATATAAAAAAGAATTGTTGAAAAATATACATGCCTGTAATTATATCATTGTATGTTGAACAGTTAGACATTACTAAATTATATGTAAAGTGACATATCATTAGTTAAGGCTTGCAAATAAGAACATTTTCAAATAAGAAAATGAGGTATGTTATTTTTCATCGAGTTAATGAAAATATACCGGTAAATGCAAATTTGAAAATCTTACACTTTAATTTCCATGGCTGAGCATTGAAAGATAATGTTATAACTGATGTAGCAATGTAAAATTTTCAATATTTACAATGTACATATTGCATATCTTAAAATTTCTTCATATTTAAATACAGTATACGCATGAATAGATTATTAAATTATATAATAATTGAGTGCCGGTAATGGAATATTTGCAATAAATTCAGCAATTTAAAATTCTCTTGATACATCCAGCATCTGTTCATGCTTTATGCTTGTAAAATAGTGTAATTCAATTTATTCAAACCTTGCATATCATATAACATATTCTTATTTCAAGACTTAAATATAATGCTCAGAAACCATGCATGCATGCAAACTCTAAAAAAAAAATTGGCTGTGAAACCATGCAAACTTCTGTTTATGACAGAGGTATAATGATGATTTGCTGTACTGAGATTCATTCTGCTCATGTAGTATAATTATACATTCATTTTGTTTTCAAATTTTTCAGTATGATCAGGCATTTCACCCAAAGCGCTTACAGAACTGGGAGGTTCCTAAACAGTTTCGAGAAGTAAGTGTCTATATGTACTAAAAAAATAATTAAAATTACATATGTTTACAGTAAAAAATAAAATGTCCAGAAATTAATTATAACTTAATTGCTAAAACATTAAAACAGATACTGTGTATGATGTTGTCTAGTTATAATGTCTTGTTCATAAAATTTTCAGAGGCCAAGAGCATTTGATGGATTTACACAAATTGTAGCTAGCAACAGAGGGCACCTCCTTCAAGGGGTTAAGAGGTCAAGGGAATCTCCATGGGGAAACTTTGTGGGAACATGGGACATGCCTCTACATATACCAGGTAACAAAACTTTCTGTTCTTATTTCAAGTCCAGTGGTATATATGATATATATAATATTTAGCATTTGCTATTATTATTTAGTAAATAAAGCAGGTGGTCATGAATATATTGCAATACTTCAGGCAACAAAATGATGAACAGCACTGCTAGAGCTTTTCATTCACAAGTAAGGTTAGAGAGATGCAAAACAGATGGTGACATCATCCTCAGTGGAAAACTAAAAAGACCACATGTGAGTTCAAAATTTTTATAATTTAAATCTTAATGTCATTTAAAACTAATGTGCTATCTTTATTGTTTGAATTTAATTTATGGTACAAGTAAATTTTGATCAAGTAAAATGGTATTTGCATACTAAAATTATCATGTCTCTAAACAGGTACCTGACCCACTGCCAGTAAAAGCTGACATGGATGCAGATAAAGGGTTGGAGGGAGTGCCTCCCAAACCCCTGGATCCTATTCCTCCTTCTTCCCCTCTAGCTCCATTAGACCCAATTACTGCTTCCAACATAGCAGTCAATGGTTCTCAGAGGTCAGGGGCCAAAAACCCTGAGCCAATTACACGAGCCAGCCCCAAACTCGCCCCGATCAGCCCAGCTGGCAGACCTGCAACTGGAGCAAAGACTCCAATAGACTGGCCCAGACCAGCTTCTAGGGTCAAATCTGCAAGCCCCAAAGGATCTCCAGAACCTGAGTTACAACAGTTGTCTGCAGCTAAGTCCCCTGTTAACTGGCCATCGCCTAAAGAGCAAGAAAAACTAGCAGCATAGGCTGTGAAAACCTATAATATAAAAGAAGACTGATTGGAACCCTGAAGAAAAAAATTCAAAAAATTCAGTTCTTATCTATCATCATGACATTATAAGGAGGGAAAAAACACATAATTTTAAAAGTGTATGGAATATAAGGTTTTTATAGTCTTTATAAGGCATTTATTATTTTTATGATTTGTCTGCACAAATGTTTGATTCAAATTATTGCTTAGTACATGTAGTACTTTTACTTTAACACTTTGTGATCTAGGTGTATGTGAGGCTAACTATTATTTATTTATTCAGAATTTTACATTTCACTTGAACTCTGTGCAGAGAAATATGTTGCGAGATTTGTTTATCTTTGATTTTATAACGTGTTTTATACGAGTATATTGATTTGTTTTATGGGAACATGGGTTTTAATTCTTATCAAGCCGTATTCTTACCATGCAGTTTAATATTTAAAATCTAAAACAAAGATTAAATCTTGTAATCCATGCCTGTGATATATATATTTATTAAACTAAGTGAATCTTTAGTATTGGTGGGGTTTACTAATTATGTTGTACCCAATTTGACTTTAAATGAACTATGAGATATTTCTCGTAACTTGTTAAGTGTTTAAATTTATTTCATTGTTAAGTAAATTATGTTTAGCATTTAAAAAAAAAATGTTTGATGTGTTGTTTACATGTAAAAGAAGCATAGTGCTTTGTTATTGAATTAAGATGTATGCAGGTGTATGCAAGAATATCCCTGACACTGAATGTCCTTAGCTGTTATATGTATGGAAGTTCTATACTGCCTGTCTTTTACTGTATACCATTGTTATATCAATCACACAATTTTTAAGACAGTGAAATATTAATTAAAAAAAGTTTCAAAAGCAAATAAAATTGTGAAAACATCATTTTGTTTTTATCATCTTCAGCCATATTTTTTGTTTGTTTAAAAACAATTTTAGAAAAGTCTCACTTAAAGCACATTTTATAATACTTTTTCAGTAGAAGCCTCTTAGATTTCTGATTTTATTTTTAAATTGTCAATTGTTTTTCAATTGAGGAAAAAAAAACAAGATGTGTTTGTGAAACAATGATGCCCCTGTATGGCATCACAAGACCTAGGTTTTCAAACTGAAAGATCAAACATTCAAAAGTGTTTGTACCAAAATAAATGATTTGTCACAAGGAATACACGTGAAATATGAAAGCCCTAGCACCAACCATTTAGAACCAGAAGTCTCAGTCGAGACTGTAGCTCTACTGGTGTGTACATGTACTTATAACAAAGGAAGAGAAAAGTGGCACTTGGACTTGAAAATTTGCAACAGCAATAAATAAATAATAATCCTTGTTTTACTCTCTTTTTTTGGCAAGATGAATAATGCAATCAGACAAAAACTGTAGAAGGAGTAGCCTTTTAATTTTTTTTTTAGAGAAATTCCAATTTGAGTTACCATGACATCATCATTCATCAAAATCGAAAAACAATAAAGACAATTATGTATCTCAGTGTAGTCTACTTGCATGCCACAATATATTAAAATCAGACCAAACTGTAGGCGAAGTAATATTTTGAAAGTATATCAAAGAAATTCAAATTTTTTTGTAATCATGGCAGCACTTCACCAAAATCAAAAAGATGGATATACAGATTTATGTATCTCAGTGTAATCTACTTGTGTGTCAAGTATATTGAAATCAGACCAAAACTGTAGGAGTAGTAACTTTTTGAAAATATTTCACAGAAATTTCTATTTTAAGTAACATGGCAACACCGTTCATCGAAATCAAAAACCGATATACAGAATTATGTATCCTAGTGTAGTCTATTTGTGTGCCAAGTTATATTGAAATCAGACCAAAATTGTAGAAGGGGTAGCATTTTGAATGTATTTCACAGACATTTCTATTTTTAGTCACAATGGCAACACCATTAATCGAAATCAAAAACAGATATACGGAATTATGTATCTTAGTGTAGTCTATTTGTGTGCCAAGTTATACTGAAATCAGATCAAAACTGTAAGAGGAGTAGCAGTTTGAAAAATTGTTTACAGACAGATGGACGGACAAAGGACACCTTACTATCACACAAGCTCTTCTGGTCTCTGACCAGTAGAGCTAAAAATGACTAAGAATAATGTTTTTCAAAAGTAGGTCATACATCAAGGTCAAAGTCGTGAGGCCAAAAATATTGGTATCAAAGCAAAGGTCATGTGACAAAGAATACGTAAGGGAAATATAAATGCCCTAGTCCCAACTGTTCAAAATGTACAGGAAGGTTAATTTTCTTACTAATGAAGGTCAACTCAAAGGTCAAAAATAAGAGGTAAAAAATATTAGTACCCAAAGGAAGGTCTTGTCACAAAAAATAAATAAGTGTTATAATGAAAGCCCTAGCACAAACCGTTCCATAATTGGCCAAGGTTAAAGGTTATTCAAAAGTAAGTCAAACTTCAAGGGCAAAGTAAAAAATGTTTGTACCCAAAGAACGATCTTCACAAATTGAATTAACAGGTGAAATTTATAAAAGCCCTATCACCTTTCATTCAAAAGTTTTGGCCAAGCTGTTAAAGTAAGTAAAATTTTGCAAAAGTAGGTCAAACTCCAAGGTCAATAGGTCAAATATATTGGTACCCAAAGAAAGGTCTTGTCACACCTAATATGAAAGCCCTAGCACCAATCATTCAATAGTTCAAGGTTAATTTTTTTTTGCAGACAAACAGATTATCAGACAGATGGATGCAGACAGACCAAAAACTATATGCCCCCAAATCTTTGATTTGGGGAGGCATAAAAAAGAGCTGGTCAAATGTAATTAATATTACAAAGCTTAATCAGCATAACTAGGGTATGCATGAGGCTGCATTCAAAGTACCTGAATTTTACCTTTTAAAACATTTTTTTTCTTTAAGATTTTCAAACTTCATCTTGTCCTGAACCACTGCAAGAAAACAAGATTATTACTTTTCCTTAAAAGTCATACAGCTATAGGACATCACAATCTCCTGAACAAAATTCCCTTCCATACAGTCAAAATAAAAAAAAAACAAAACAAACAGCAACAGTTGCTGTTACAATGGACTTTGAAATACATGTAATTAATTCTTTTCAAAATAATTCAGCTGAACCTGAGGTAATTAATACACTCTATTCAAATTTAAGTTCACTTGAGCCAAAGGTGTGTGAACTTTTTCTGATTAAAGTTTGTAAAATTTTCACATTTTTTTGCTTCTCTGGAAACACTAGCCCAATTTCAATCACTGAAACTTGTCAAAAAGCATCCTCAGGTAAAGGGGATCCTAATTTGTGCAAATGAAGGGTCACACACAGTCAGGAAAGGGGAGGTAATCAATAAATGGCTAAAAACTATTTTTTTTTATCTATGTTTTTGTTTGATATTGATCCTCTTGTGGCCCAATCCTACCCCAGGGGGCTATGTTTCGAACTAACTTGACTCTGCACTACCTGAAGATGTTTGCGCATTATGTATACTTGTCATTACCCTCCTGTTCATAGGAAAATTTAAAACATATTTGAAGAATATTTCCATGTAAACTTTGATTCGATCCTGATTGTGGCTCCACTGTATCCTTTTTTAAAAGTAGCAGGACCACACTATATCATAAAAATATGCAAATTTTCATTTCTTTTTTTTTCAAAATATGGACTTTAGGGCAAGGGTTGGGCTAAAATTTAAGGATCAAAGAAATGTGAATGATAGTATTGTTCTGCTGCCTACCTTGAAGTCATTTTTAAAAAGTTAACATAGTTAAATGATTTTTCATATTTATATAGATATTTAGGTGAAAATTCATTAAAAAAAAAAACTTATTTGGAAAAACAAAGAGAGATAACTCTATAATTTCAACAAAAAAAAAATCTTGTGAAGAACAGGACAAAAGCAACTCAGGTGAATGTCGAGGCCCATAGGCCTCTTGTTTCATTCTTGTAACACTGGGCTCTCTATGACACTCATAGGGGTGAATGGAAGAGTGTTTTTCAGATGAAAACTGTAACAAGAAGGTTCACCCTATCTATTATACAATCAGTACCAGCTTCCTAGTTTTTGTCCCAGTCCATACCAATTTATCTAATTAGGCTACTATAATTTGAGTTTGTTGTAAAAATTTTCAGATATATTTTTTTCTGTATAACACTCCAAGGTACATGAATTCATTGTAAGTTTCTACAGCGTTCATATCACGGAATATGCTTAATTTAATATATACATGAATCAAAAATATCAAATTACATTGAAACTTGTCGAATCCATGTTGTATTCCGAAATTTTGCTTAGTACGATGTAACCTTGTCTAATCTGGAATGTTGTCTATAATCCGGCCAATTTCTATGGAACCAGTGGTGTCAGGAATAAGTTTACCTGTTATATACGTATGTCTAAAGATTACATAGCGCATGTATTTCCATTTCACAAACAAAGTCTCCCAGACCCATTTAGGATAAGGAAGGACATAAAAAAGGTAGCTATGCAGTCATCTGTTTCCCGTTTTTTTGTGGGTTTTTTTTTTTTTTTTGACATTTAAATTAAACCTTTTAAACAATTACATATTGCTAGGTAAAAAATGTGTAGCTGATGTATCATTGACACATGTATGTTGTGATCAATGCAATAAACAGTAAATGACCATTACCTACGGCGTACCTGGAAGAATAAAAAAAATCTTTTTCTTATGTGGTAGTTTCTCCATAACAGTAAAGAAAGAAACAAGACAGGTCAATGATCATTTTTAATCAAATTAACATCTGTAAATCTACAGACTATATATTACAAGTTTGATATTTAGTGCACATCATAAAAATTTATACATTGCATAATCCAATTGCAATTCTAGGTTACTAATCATTTTTCTCACATTCTTTTGATAAAAACTGCTATACATTGTATCTAGAGGGAGGTAGGAAAGTGAAGAATAAAACATAGAAAATACATGTACTTCACAGATTCCTCAAAATGACACACATACTTTATTGTTGCTGTATTTATCTGTATAACAAATATAACATAGCTGCCAAACACACCTAATATGTAGAGTTAAAATGAGACATCAGTTATATTTGAGTATATAACTGTGTTTTATGTATCATTCTTGGAGGTTTTCCATCCCATTTTTCTTTTTTAATAAAGTGACTTTTTTTTTCTGATAAAATATTATAGTTTTACCAATTTTTTGTTGTTGTTGTTGTTTTTTCCTTGAAAGAAAATTTCCTTAATTTTATTTCAATCAAAATCACTAGAAATATGGACATCATTTATACTATAATGACAAAACAGTACATAAGTTCAAACAATATACTGTACTGACAATGACAGATAAGCACAAAACTGACTCAACAGTTACTTTGTGCATTTGGCACAAAACTGAATTCTTATCACAGTTGGTTTGACAATACAAAACTTTATGGATACTAGCTGCAATAACGTAGCCCTCTCTGATTTTTTTTTGGGGGGGGGGGGGGGGGGGGGAACCTCTCCTGAAAATATCAGATTAAAAAAAATCGGAGAGGGCTACATTATTGCAGCTATATGGATACCTGTCATTTCCTAACAGAAACAAAATACTTCTTAATTCATTTATTATGCATATGTTTCATATTCCAACTTCTACAGCTTTTTAGTTTCTTTCAAAAGAATTTCAGAATTTTACAAAATATTAATTTTCTGATTACATATTGTACATTACACACCATTCATTCACAAAAAAATATATATCATACATGCATCCCTCTATTTTTTTCCATGTGCTTTTATTATAAACTGTCAAACATATTAAAATGCTAAGGAATGTCAAACATATTCTAATGTTCAAGGAACAAGATTATAATACACATGTACTTCATACCCCTGCAAAAGCTTACACTTTTTTTGGCATTGAGCAAAAATCAGTAACTTAAAGATTTATGATTATATATGCTTCGTTTTCAAATCTCAATTTGTCTTTCCTCATGCCAGGATTTGTAAAATGCACTGTTACAATAGTATTAATGCATACAAAACATATGTACCCTAGCTTTTCAACCTTAATATCAGTCACCCTCCCAAGGCCAAGAATTTTGCTTAAAAAAAAATGTTCACACTGAAAATGTACCCTGTAAAGTGTTTTAATTTGAATCATCTTTTTAATTTCATTTAACTGAATTTTCAACTGAACTTAAAGTCGTCATTATCTTCCTTTTCAAAAATTTTCACTGCTTCAAATCTCCCTCCTCAACACTTTATTTCAGTTTCCCTCTCTGATAGAGAACAGTTTAAGATAACTAGGAGGAATGGAACCTACCCAACAAATAAAAAAATTAAGCATATCTACTATTGATTAACTCTCATCTGTAATCTTCATTGTCAGAATCTATTTTAATATGTCCATTCTTTGTTTCTAAATGTACTGGGTCTAAATAATGGTTATCTCCCCTTTCTCCTCTATGTGAGCCACTTTCACTAGGTGGCGCTGATGATCTGAAACCTGACCCTTTTAGTGGTTTCAGTGCCCTTGGTTCTCTGTCTGGTGACACATTCTTCCTCTTCTTTTTCCTTCTCTTTTTTGGTTTTTCATAGTTTTCCTCCACTGTGTGTGAGATGGGTGGTAGATGTCTTGGTGTTCTAAAAATAAAAATAATTTCATTAATTAATGGTAAAATCCACCTGTGACATCACTCTTTTGTTTGAGCGCTCCATTACTTTTCAGGAATGGAGAGTTGCAAATTACATTGAAAACAGAATTTGTTACGTTCATATTCTCCTTCCCGTACCTCTACCGAGGAAAGAACTTAGAAAATTTTAACAAGTTTATTTTCACATAGAGAAAATAAATGTGGCACTGTTGAGAATCGAACCCAGTACCTTCACATTCGGTGTCAGGCAATCATCCTACTACGCTATCGAAGCTGTTGATTGACAGCAGATTTAAATAACTTAAGTACACTTTTTTTGACTTACTTTCTCTCGATCTCTATATAAATAAATAATACTAATATGTAAAATGTATATTTACAGTGTACATGTATCTTATGAATATTCTTTATTATATATTAACAATCAACAATTACAAGCATTTAAAAAGGTGTATTTTACGCAGGTTAATATACTCTTAGCACTCCATTCCTTAAAAGCAATGGGTCTCGGCCCCTTCGGAGCCTCGGCTCCATTTCTTTTAATGAATGGAGTGCTACTCGTACATTAACCCTTATGGATAATTTTAGGATGACACATCTTTTGTACAATATGTTTAGCATACAAGTTTTATGAAAGTTATCTCCCTTAAAGTAGAGTAAGATGCCTGCATAGTACTCTACAAGACTTGAGTTTGCCTCCTATTTTCAATTTTTTATTAGCAATAGACAATATGACCAGATTCAGCTTTAGAAATTCTCAAAATACTCATTTACATATAGATGAAATAAATATATAAAGAGAAGTTAATGAATAATTACAGTTAAAGACACCTAATTTAATTAATTAGTCTTATAAGCACCCTATGCATGTACTCCACTCACACACAAAATAACGAATGATTTTGACGTACAAAGTTTCTGGTGCATCCCTGAAGTTAATAGAGTCCTCAGTATTGTATCCTAGCGCCACTTCTGGTCCATATGGTCCCTCTCTCGACACGATTGGTCGACGATCAACACGTTTACGTCGCTTTCGTTCCCTCACATCTTGCAGCCGATAATTTACAAATTTCAGATTAGTTTCTCCATATCTGTTGACATATTTCCATGGTGTAGTTCCCTCTGGTATTACATCATTTTGTCCAAAACAAGGCACTAAAAATACAGTGAAATTTGTCAAACCTTTTAGGCCTATGAGGATACATGTACCACTCTCTAACTACTGTTAACCAACTTTTATTCACATGCAAGAAATATCTGCTAGTAGAATATTTCCTCAGATGCCAAAATTAAAAGTTGCAAATGGATTTCAAACCGAAAAATTACGAATAAAAGTTGTGGCAAATCTTGGTTAGCATTCTGTTCAAGGAAATTTGCTCATTAATAAGAAGTCCATGGGGCACAATGCTCACTGAGATACTATGACCTTGCTGTTCTTCATCTGCAGATTTTCTTCCCTGGACAGTATATATTGCCCACCCTACATGATTTGAACAAATTTGAATCTACACTATGCAATGATGCTTTCATGCAAGTTTCAAGTTTTCTGGCCCAGTGGTTCTTGAGAAGATATTTGAAAGATGCCATTAAATTTTACAAATTAATTCTTAATTATCTCCATTGAAAAAGGGCATGGCTCTTCATTTGAATAAATTTTAATTCCTTTCACCCAAAGTTGCTCTGTGCCAAGTTTGGTTGAAATTGGTTTAGTTGTACTTGAAAAAAAAGATGAAATTATGAAAAGTTTATGACAAAAAGAACAACGACAGACAATGGAATTTTTTTTTTTTTTATCACAATTTAAGTACTTAAAGGTACTAACAGATTTCCAAAGCTGCTCTTTGAATTAATGATGTTGATTCTTAGAAGTTTTACATAGTTAATACATTTTGGAATATTTTGTCAATGTCTATTGAACAGCCCAACAGAAGTGAAGCTGATAATCATTCTCACAATACCCAAGAATGCTCTGTCACAATAAGGCTAATATGGTTAATCACCAACTAGAAAAACCCAGTTTTCAAAATAAAATCAGACTGATCCTTATATAACCCTAGAACTTATAAAAATCCTAATAAAAGCTGTGAAGCATAAGAATATTTAAGGAAAGAACTACATGTAAGTATAATAACTTAAAGAGGATTTTAAGTCAAATTTTTAACAACCTGTTTATTCTCCGACTTAGTGAGGGAAATGATCACATCTCTCAGACTTATCAAGAAAACATAAACAGTTTCATTCAATTGTAACTCAACAATTATTTTTGAGATCTATTCATATATTTCAAAGAATTTGTAAAATTTAATTGCATTCCTAATGCATATATATCCTCATTCTTTAAAAATGAAAGAAAAAGTGAGCAAGCTCACATACCCCACACTCTCCCAAAACTCGACAATGCAACACGTAATGAATGGCACAGCTAGTGCATTTTAAAAACACAGTATAATTCAAAAAGGGGCATTACTTGCAAAAAACATCACATCAAAACTTCTTGCATATAAGGACATTCAAATCTTTGTATGTTACAAATTTTATTTGGGCTGAAGTTTCTAGATAAATAATGGAATCAAAAGTTCTTGGTAAAATACAAATCTATATATTATGTCTGAAATACCTACAAAGTTTCAGGAAATTCAGTGCAGGAGTTATGCTGACAAACTGTTATTTTAAATTCCTCAGTGATTTCGATTTGTTAATGAGTGTAAGGCCATGTCCAACACATGACAATTTACACATTTAAATAATTGATGGATGTAGTCATATGAATTTGTTTGTATATTGTACTTATGAAATTATTTAAGGCAAAGCACCAATTTGAGGGGGGGGGGGGGGGGGGATGAGAACTATCCAAGATTTTGCGTGTGTGTGTTAAATCATTAATATTTTGATCTCAAAATCAATAGGAGTCTTTTAAGATCATAAAAAATTTCACTTAAAATTTCATTAGAAAAGCTGATTCCAGTGGATTTCCTTATTACATAGCTGGAAAGTTTCTTCAATAATAGGCAAAACTCTTAAGGCAAAAATAATGGAATCGAAATTTCCTGGTAATATGCACATCTACACACTGTGTACTAAATATCTGCAAAGTTTAATCAAATTCTGTGCAGCAGTTTAAGAGGAGTTGCATTAACAAACTGTTCATCTCTATATTCAAGATATGGCCAAAAATCAAAAATGAAAAGTGCCAAAATTCCCAGAAAAATAACGGAATCAAAATTTCCTGGTAATATGCACATCTACACACTGTGTACTAAATATCTGCAAAGTTTGACCAAATTCTGTGCAGCTGTTTATGAGGAGTTGCACTGACAAACTGTTCATCTCTATATTCAAGATATGGCCAAAAATCTAAGTTGAAAAGTGCCGGAATTTCCAGAAAAAATAAAGAAATCAGAATTTCCTGGTAATATGCACATCTACACTTTGTGTCCTAAATATCTGCAAAGTTTGACGAAATTCTGTGCAGCGGTTTATGAGGAGTTGCGCTGACAAAAAAACAGGACTGATGGACTGACTGACTGACTGACGGACAGGTCAAAAACATTTTACCTCACGCAACTTGTTGCGTGGGGTATAAAAAGATCTTCTGGAAAGGGAAGTATATTTGCAAAGAATATTTGCAAAGTACCTTTATATAACTTCAGTGATATTTGTTGTAACTGTACTCTTTAAAGAAACAAGAATTTCGAAATATGTTAATGATCAACAAAATTTTCTTTTAAAGAGTAACATGGAATTTAATATGCAGGTACAAGGACATGCAACCTGGCTTTATAATCATGATAATTATCTCATATATCACAGACACACACTAAAGAAGGAAAGTCGATAAAAAACATATTTATACTGTTACAAAGGAAAATTAACCATATCACCCTGTTTTGTTTTATAATAATTACTCTTTAAAGTTACATTTGTGTACTTTGTATATTAATTATCCTGTTTCTTTTTTTAAATAGTGTCATAAACTCCTCTCAGATTTCAGCTTTAAAATGTTGTATTCCCATCTTTCTAACCAAACAACAGTAAAACTCAAATGTTGATTTATAGTCTTAACAATGTTTGCACATAAGATTTATTTTTTGTATGCTGCTATAAGTTACACACCAAAATAAATTGTGAAACTTATATATCAAAGAAGATTTGCACCTATTTATCTACGCCTTAGCAGTCTGTCCTCTTTAATGTAAAATTAAAAGAACAATTATTAATTACATAAGACTATAAAATTTGAAGATACTTAAGGATAAGATAAAAATACTTATAATAAAATTCAAAATGTGTATCAAAGTTCATTTACCAAAGTTTATCTAAGACTGAAAATAAGAGGGAGAATAAAAAAGAAATATGCAGATTTATTGGACCACGTACAGTGCTTAAATATTGGGGCATGAGGAAAAAAATTTGTATGATCCAGGCTTATCTGATCCACATAATATTTACAGCTTTTATGATATCATTTCAACTTATTTAATTTTATCTCACAAAACTTAAAAGAGTTTGCTTACTGTGAAATCACATATTTTCACGGTGTCAAATTTTCACGGTAAGAGAAAATGATGCTGGTTCATGGGGATTTGAATTCGTGGTTGAAAAGTATGAGATGTTATGTATTTTCAAAATTTTACTTTTCGAGAAGGTCATGAATTTGTGGGTCTCTTCATATCATGAAAACAGCAAAAATACCCCCCCCCCCCCCGAAAATAAGTGATTTCACAGTATCACAGTATTAGGAATTACCATCCCTGTATGTGATAAAAAACAAATATCCTGGGGGTATTCTCTATATAAAATCCTTTAAACCAACTAATCAAAATTCTATAGAAATTAATGCTCCGTTTAATGTTTATATACTTCTATTTCCTAGACTACATGGTTTACCTTTCAAGAATGACACTATAAAAATAAACCAAACTGAAAATGACACTGAATCTACAAACTTTTTTCCCTAACATTTTTTTAAATAAAAAAAATTATACAAATGCATAAGGGAAAAAAACAAATTTAACTTTAAAGTAATATAAAACTTAAATGAAATGAACAAAAAAGGTCTTACATAATGAAGTGTCAGATAGCATACCTTTTTCCCTGCAAAAGAAAAGGAACAGCAGAACAAATGCTACGATGAAGATGATGATGCCGATGACAATGGCGATGATAACCGCTGCCGAGAACTCTTCCTCCATGTCTGTACTTTGTCCTACATCTGAAATCACAATTAAGAGTCTCGTTTTTAAAATTTGGATATCCAATTTCATAATTTTATAATAAATATTGATTAGTCACTTACCATTGAGCTATCAAGATGGTATCAATAGTCCAATTATAATCAACTAAAAACAGATTCAAAGGGGGACAACCTTTCAAAATTCAATCAATTTCAATTTATGTGAAAAGAAATCCTTATAATTAACCATAATTCTAGATCTGTTCCCTGTTTGTCAGAAAATATTCTTTGGCATTAATTGTTAACATCTTCTTTAAGAAATAAATGCTTTTCTCTCTTTTTTTTTAATTTGCTTTCCAGCTTTTGTTATATACATGGATAGCCCCTCCCCTCTTCCCTTTTTTGTAAAAAATAAATGAATTATAAATTCTGTGCCTCGATCTGTACCAACTTCAACTTGTTTCACTGATGTGTTGTTAACGTTAACTTACTTGTTGGTGTTTCAGCTGTTGTGATGGCTTTAGAGTATGCTGAAAAAGAACAAATACTGAGAATATATGGACATACTTCACACTTTTAAAGTCAATCTAATATGTTGTCTATCAGAATTGTTTTAATTTATAGAAAATGTATAAGGTCTAAGGATAATTCATTCTTTAAGAGATACATGTTCCATAATGTCTTTTTCTCATAAAAAGTGGAAACATTCCCATTTACTTCCTTTTTTTTTGTTAATGTTTATTTTTTACTTTGAACAAACAATCTAACAGTCATAGTTAAATGAGTACTTGGGAATCTAAAAGAACTAACGACAATAGACATATGCCTGATTTATTCTGTATTCTGAATGCTGGATTGTCTTTTAAATAATTGCATGGCATTAGATGACCATTTTTTAACTCTTAATTAACAATGCATTGTGCTCTTTGCAACCAATTCTTCATAATTATATATATATTAATCAAGTTTAATCTTCAAATCTAATTTAAACATTTCTTTCTGTGTTGATACTTTATACTTTTCATTTTCTGGATTCCATAATTAAACAAGATCAACTACGAGATGTACTAATCTCAACTGAGATTATGAGATGTACAAAATATCTGCTCTCGACTGAGATTATGAGATGTACAAAATATCTGCAGACAAGGCACTATACACACTTCTAATTACACATATGTTTGCTTAATGCTTTTTAAATCAATTCCTATGTATCAAAATCCTGCATGTCCTGATCATAAAAATTCATTTTTCTGTCTGACAGTCAGTCATCTCTCTGAGACTTACATCCAGAAATCTTCATGTAGGGACACTTACATAAAATCAATATATATTACCATGGTAATTATGACAATGTTAGGTACATTAAAGTTTATATTCACATGACACAAATAAAATACCATTTATATTGCATGACACACTTAATCAATGTGAGATTTTGATAATGACTGCATTTTAAATCTAAAGACAAAAGTGTTTAATGCACATACCTTTAAGTAAAATCACCCATAAAATGTAATATTTGTCAACATGCAGTTATGTCACTTTAATTTCCCAGATCTTGTTAATTTCCAGAAATTAATATGTAAGTCTATTAATGTATTACATTTTTTATCCTCTCTGCTATGCAATTGTTGATAGTTTACAATAGTACACAGAGAACCAAACACTGCTGTTAAGCAAATCAAGCATGATTAAACATGTCACTTGGTCATGCTTCATTGACCACTCTAAGGCCATGGCTGGTTCCATAATAATTATTAAAGGTAATGGGTATATTGATCCTTGAGTTCTCAGCACTATGGGACATTGTGTGGATGTTAGATTTTAAAGCTGTATTGTTTGTTCAGTCAGGAGATGTATTGAAAATACTAAGCAGTATACCTGCAGACAGGTCTTTCTGGTTTTTTAATTTTGTCTTCTTGTATATGCTCAGAATTAAAATCTTGTTGAAAATAATTAGAGAGCAAAATTCCTCTTAATAGGTTACTTTTCTAATTAAGTACTTTTACACATGAAATTAATACTATAATGATTAGCAATAAAATTTCCATGTATACATATATATTATAAATATCTTTGACTATAAAAAAATAAAATTTCAGAATTAATTTTTAGAAAAAACTAATTTTGTCATGCATGAGATCAAAGGTCAAACATTTTCTCTCCTTTTATGAACCCATGCATGTCACGTATTTTGAATTATTTCTGATAAAATAAAATACTTTTCTTTTGAAGCATTATTTCTGTTAAATTAATTATACTGTTCTTGTGAAGAAGTTTTTAAGAAACTTCATTGATTTTTCTATTTTGAAGCTATACATGTAGAACAAATCTTCATGATGCATACCTTGTTTCATAGAGACTATTAAGTACTTGATCTATGAGTCTGAGAATTCTCAGTGTGCTAGTACAGTAACCATATACCAATAGACAGTGGTCATACTAGGAGGTCATAGGAAAAAAATTATCCTCCAAACGTATCTAAATCTAGCTCCATAAAATTCCATAATAACCTTATTTAGCTGTTAAAATGTGTTTTTATGATAAATTTGTATGTAATTTGAACCTTTTTGATCAATTAGACAGAAATAAAGTGTCAAATTGATTCAGAATAAAGGATTCTGTACAATCCAATATATAGTATTATACAAGAAATCAATATTGTACAGGACGACAATAATATAATTTTGCTTCAATCAAAGCTTATAAATAGTTCTTCCATCGCAAATATGAACAGCAGAAGTTGATAAACATTCTTTTTTTCTGTCATTGAAATAGTTATTTAAAATTTTGCAACAAAAATTTCTGACATCAAAGTTGCAGCTCATATTGCTTTAACTACCATAGAGTAATAATAGGCCATAACAAAGTCAGTATAAACAAGATGCCCAAGGGCCTTACTAGTCACTCGAGTATAAAAAACTCCAACTTTGATCTGCAGCTTTCCACAAACACCCAATTCCAAATAATTTTGAATTCAAGTTATTAGTCCCCTACCGGTGAAACTGGGGGGGACTATAGGTTTCCTCTGAGTCTGTCCGTCCGTCTGTCTGTCTGTCCGTCTGTCTGTCTGTCTGTCTGTCCCTCTGTCTGTCTGTCCCACTTGGTTTTCCGCACTTTTCTTCTAAACGCTTGCAGATATTGAGCTGATTTTTGGTATGTGAGTGTATCTTGATGAGTTACAGATCAAATTTGCATTTCGTTCCGCTTCATTGATTTTTGACGGAATTACGACCTTCTCAATTTTTCAGGGTTTTCCGCACTTTTTTTCTAAACACTTGCAGATATTGAGCTGATTTTTGGTATGTGACTTTACCTTGATGTGTTATAGATCAAGTTTGCATTTCATTCCGCCTCATTGATTTTTGACGGAATTATGGCATTTTCAATTTTTAACGGGAACCAGATTACACTTGCCGGTAGGGGACTAGTATTGCTAATGCAATACTCTCAGAATGCTTGTTTATAAAAGCTTTTTAGCTCACCTCGACAAAGTCAAGATAAGCTTATGCTATACCCCCGGTGTCGGCTTTAGCGTCAGCGTCCCGATTAAAGTTTTAGAAGCAAGTCCCATTCCCAAGTAACTATAAGCCCTACCTGGACCAAACTTGCATGGATAATGCATCTAGGGATGGACACTACCACACTAGCTTCGGATGCTGGATCTGACCTAGATTTTCCAATTGAATGACCATTTTAAAGTTTTTGGAACTGGTCCATTCCCAAGTAACTGTAAGACCTACCTGGACCAAACTTGCATGTATGATGCATCTAGGGATGGAAACTACCACACTTTCTTCAGATGCTGGATTTGACCTAGATTTTCCACCAGGTTAAAATTTTTGGAGCAGGTCCATTCCCAGGTAATTATAAGCCCTACCTTGACCAAACTTGCATGGATGATGCATCCGGGGATGGACATTACCACACTTGCTTCGGATGCTGGATCTGAGCTAGATTTTCCACATGTAAGATCAGGTATAGATTTTGAAGCAGTCCCGTTCCCTAGTAACTATATGCCCTACCTGGACCAAACTTTCATGGATGATGCATCTAGGGATGTACACTGACCAATCTGCTTCGGATGCTGGATCTGACCTAGATTTTCCATATGAGTGAATTTTTGCTATATTTAACCAAATTAGCATGGATGATGTATATAGGGATGGACACTTCCAGACTTGCTTTGGATTCTGAATCTGACCTACATTTTCCAGATGAGTGACCAGGGCAATTTATTTGGAGAAGCTTTATAATATTGTGGCCTTTTATGATTAATCTTGCATAGATGGTGCCTCTAAGGATGAAAACTTCCAGACTTGCTTTGGATGTTGGAACTCACCACAATTTTCTTGAGTACTAAACAGCTTAAAAGTTTTTGGAGCAGGTCTATTTCCAAGTAACTATAAGTCCTACTTAAACCAAACTTGCATGGATATTGATCTTGGGATGTACCCTAACTAGAAAAAAAAATTACGTGAAATTTGCCTTACTTATAGATAACATTCGTCAAGGTGAGCTTCGTAATCTTTGATTACCTATGTTTATTCCTTGGAACAATAAGGTAAAAAAAGCATCTCACAGAAATTGATAATGACTATAGCTTTGTAATACAGTTGCTGATTAGTCTGATCACTCCTAACCAAAAATTTCATATTTTGATAGTACTCTAGGCCAAAGACAATAATCGTGATTAGGGAAATGTTTAAGAAATGCTTGACAAGCAAAGATGAAAATTTGATATTTTTTTGCAAAATATGATACAATAATAATTCAAAATAAAATAGCATGGTAATTCTATAGATAGCAGAAGCATCATCTATCTTGAAGCTGTCGATCAGTATAATGTAAGCTGGTGACTTCACTGTAAATATAGGCACCAAGCTTTATAGAATAATCATTGCTTGATCCCTGTTTGTTGAACATTCTCTACTTTTATTCTACAACACTCCTTTTTTTTGTCAATGAGCAGTGCATGGGGTGTGAATAGAGATCAGTTAGTACAGTACAGCTCACGAGTATCTTCCGGAAAACACCGGCCACGGTGGACCCTTGGTCCACGCTTTTGCGTGGACTTTGAAAAATGTCGGTGTCTTTGATGTTTCGTTTTCAGCGCTAAGCTGGCACACGGTGCGACACGGTGTGTACACGGTGCGTTTGCTCCGTGGAACTCCGTGCTGGTTAATCAACGTTAAGTGGTTTGAAATTACTTTAAAATAATTCATTGAAGATTTTAGAATAAAAATCATTGAAATGCATATCATCCGCAGCGTGCATTTTCCTACTTTCCATTTTGTACTGACGTGTCAATGAATTTAACAAAGACGGAATTTTACCATGCAGTCAGCAATCTTGTGTTATTTGGAAGATATCTTCTTAAAGATTATTTTATTTGTAAAACAAAAGCTAAATCTAAATTTAAAAAAAATAGGAAAGGAATATTCTGCATTTGTACTATGCTCAGGAAATCCATGTGGAATTGTCAATTGATTATCTTATCCGACGTACTTTTTTTTAATTATAAATT